ATTGGGAAACATTATTTAGTGGACCATCTCATAAACTTGCTCCTCTTACCAAGTTGTGTTTGGATTTTCTGGAATCATCGCTCCAAAGGAGATCTGTCACTGTGGAATGAAATGAATGGAATGCTATTTCTATATCATTAAATCGCCTATTTGAAACAGACGGGGATCACTGCTTTAACCGTGGAAATATTGAAGAAGTTATTAGTCAGGTATTTTCGTTTCTGTACTGGGGTGGATGATATTGCAGTTATCAATTGAAGTACTTACAGGTAACCAGAGATTCAAGTAAGATACGGAGGGACGACCAAAAAAATGTCAACTTTTTGGCCCTCGTAAATTTGAGGTTGTTGTATGATGATGATAGTTTTTTAATACGTATAGCAATAGTTAATCTGCAGACTGGTTTTATGGATTGTTAGCACTCAGCAGCAGCAGAGAAATTTTTGCTGTACAGAAGCTATTATTATTATTATTATTATTATTTTCCGTAATAGGTAGTAATTTTCGGCAAGCTCTATTCTAAGTCTACTTGAATCTAATTTGATTTTATTTGTTGGGTAGCTGCAAAGTTGTATACAAAATGATTACTTTTCTATTATTCGACATCGAGAGAGGTAAGGAGATCCATTAAACTTGAATACAGTTGTGAGGGGCCATTAATATTATTTATAGTCGATATTGGTATAGTGGTTGCAATTCAATTATCAACTTATCGTTATTTTGATTAAAAAAAGCGGGGGGCGGGGAGGGGGGGGTCCACTAATCATCACTATGGGGAAGTCAATGGGACATGATTCTCAATTTTACTATTTTTGGATTAATTGTCTTAAGATATATACTAACTAGATAATAATACAAATTACCATTTCGTATATTATATTAATCTCCATTCGATTAATTATTATTATTATTAAGACAAGTCCAGAGGGAACTTACGACCTCATGGATGCAAAGGGACGATCCCCCTATATTCCTATCAATACTAACTTTGCAAGTTGACTCATTTTACCATAGTTTCTTATCATTTGAAACGAAGTTGTAATCTATTTATATGCTCTGTTCGATAAATTTGAGCTCAGAATACATGGGATATTTATCTATTACCTTCTTTAGAGGTAGAAATAAATTTAACTTTAGCTGTCAATATACTTAAGAGGCTTTGTTTACATTTACCTTTTAATTTTTATATAACAATTCCCAAATCCAATACATAATATAGGCTTTGAATAATCAGTGGAAGCACAAAAATCATCTGTAAATTACATAACCAAATATTCAAGATTCATGAGAGACCCGACCCGCCGTACCTTCTTTTCCGAATCCCTGCATTTCTTCCCTTCCTGAAATCACCGTACCCGGATAAGAACCCGGTATTGGAACAGCATCTCGGGTCCTAAAATAAACTTTTTGGTTTGCACTTTCCTGCATAAGCCGGGTAGTCATTTCATATGGCATCACTCCAGCACCATAAACTAGATTGACACCGGGTATGGGTTGAGATTGAGGATACCCGACTGGTACTTGACCCGGAGCAAGAGGCAGTTGTTGATACCGTGTCTGGATTGGAACAGGTGGAAACAAATTACTTCCAGTTTGTACAGGACCCGGAACATAATACACAGCAGGAGTAGGTATATGTTGCACGGTTTGAACCGGGTAGTGCCCCATCGGAGCACCCGAAAATCCTGTCTGTGGATGACCCATTTTGTCAGTTACCACCTCAGCCACACCCTCAATGGCTTGACTGTACTTGTGCTCAACAGCAGGAACCAGGTTTGGGTTAACAGGTTTGGTTCTCAACGGCGGAATATCAGGAATCCCAGGTGTGCTTGGAGGAGCTAGAGATGACGCCGTGGAGCAGAACGGCGAAGAAACAACCGGAGTGGGTGAGCCCGGATCCGAAAACGATACATTGTCGTTCTTGTTCTTTAACTTGGATTCTCTTATAGCATCGTCGGAATTATCCAACCCGAATAAATAATCAGGAACTTCGGATACAATTGACGAGACTTCGGACCTCCCACGCTCCAGAACCGGACCCCAGCCGCCGTTGAGAGCATCGGAAAACCAGTTTTGCCGCTTAGCCGAGCCGTCGAGGAGGGAGCTGATGCTAGAAGCTCTCGAATCAGCATCCGTAGAGAAGAGAAAAAGCCTGAGTCGAGCCATTTTCTGATTCTGGCTCAGCGGATCGTATTCATCCATCATATTCTCTACATCCTCATCTGTAGTTACAGTGATCAAAGAATCCAGGTCTTCACTTGGAAGCTGGTACTTTATGCTTATATTGGTTGTACCGGAGAGCTTGGAGAGTTTCGAGAGAAAGGAAGAGAACGTGATATGGCGGTGGATAGCGACAATTCGGGTGTCGCCGCCTACATAGCGGAGCAGGTTATCGTGGGGTCGTGGGAGAATTTTTCCGCCAAAGCTACACATGAAACGAACCCGCGTATGCTGCACGGCAGCGGAATCGTCATGTAGGTGGTGATGCTCCGACCTTGGCGTGGAGGAGACTGAGTCAGCCGTGCCGGAATCTAACTCAGTCACAGGGTGAGTCGACGCCATTAATTCTGCAAATTCAAATTCAGATACAACAAAAAGTAAGTTAAGCCCATATAATCAAATCAATATACATCATTATGTATACATACAGGGTGGTGGTGAGGTGGAGGTGGAGGTGGAGGTGGAGGAGGAGCGGCAGAAACAACTCTTAGCGTACGAAATTGTTAAGAATTTCAGCGGTGGTGAGAAAATTTAAGAAGATTTGGCTCTCCAAACATGTACGTAGTACAAAATGCATACATCATATTGTTGTATTTTCAAGTTCTTGTTCTCTGACATACTGGAGCATATTTCACGATTTAACTCACGATACTTCAAGGGCGGGACGATGGGGGCCATCAAGGTTAGAGTTCAACCCCTTTTTTTTTTTTTTAATAATATTGTTGTAGTTTCTTTTGATTAACTTTGGCATCTTCAATAATTGAGTTGGATTCTCATCACCATGTCTTCCAACAACTGAAATCTCTTTTTTATTTATTAAATACCATGAGTCTCACATGAGGAACGTATGGAACGTATGACATATATGGCACTACAAGATCATCAACGGCTAAATATATAATCTATATCACAAAGAGTTCATCAAGATGTCAATGTATGTTATTGTGATATACTCTACTCGTAAGCATGTTTGTGTACCGATTATTTCGAGCTTGCCCGCTGAAGTAAGGGGAAAAAGTTGCTTCGGACATCGTCTCGAGAGGTATCAACGATCCGTGAAACTTGATCTTACTAAGAACACTCTTCATATAGTATTAGAAAATAAAAGAAGATCATATTTCCTACCTTTAAAGTAAAGGAAGAGAAACGGTCCCTTTTCTAGAGAAAAATGGTGGGTTGTTTTTAATTTTCTTTGTGGTCGGCAATAACACCTATTAATTAATTGTTTGGAACCATAAGAAAAATGACATGCAGCCAATAAGAAGCACGGAGTCTACATCGTGTAGTTGCCAATATTAGTGCACAAAAGCTATTTGATGTGACGACGCTCTTCAATCATCATTTTCAATTAAGGTCTGCAAATGAAATTTATTTCGGCACCATCCATGTGACTTTCTAATTGGTTCCAAAATAACTTTCTAATTGGTCCTAAAATATTAGAGATAATTACAGCAAAAGCTCCAAACTTTTGAAATGTTAGCAGATTTTTCTCAAACTTTTAATTTGTTGCAGTCTTCACTGCTAACATTTCTAAAAGTTGTAGCTGAAGCCTTTTTGGATAGTTTTTGTCCACAATTCCGTCAGTTGACCAAAAACTTAACTTTGACCATATTTTTAATATTTTAAAAATGGCCAAAAGAGTAACTTTCCATTTATCACATTAAATAATTAAATTCATAAATAAGAAACAAAAAAAGAAATAAAAAACATACACACATCCCGTCTTCTTCCTCTTGTCCTCACCCAACCCCCCCTCCCCACACCTCAAATCCAAAATCCACATCCGCTATTGCCACCGCCACTGCCACCAGAACTGATGCAATCTTTATTACCAACCACCGGGAATGACAAAACTCGTGAAGAACCCAAGAATACTAGAATCCCTTTATAGGCTTAGTTACAGTGACAGAGGGTAACATAATTTGTGATCTCTTTAGTTTACCTTGTTTATTTTTTCCATCTTATTTGATGTGCAGTCACCAAGCACATTCAGGTGGGCCGGAGGGTGCCTATAATTGAAAATCCCATTTATATATATATATATACACAAAAAAGTTTTTTACTAATTTTTTTTTAAAGGGGGTTTGGGGCGGATAGACGGACTGTAGCACTGGCCTGCCCGTCCTTGAATCCGCCCGTGTGTATTTCTTAAAATGAAATTTTCTTTTTACTTCATCATATATAATTGATTTTGAAATTTAGCTGGGCAGCTTGATGGCTCTAAAAGATGAATATTATCCAAAAGCTAAAGGGTATGTTTTAAAATGCTGGAAATGGGTACCGAGACATTTTTCCTTTGCGATTTGAGGTGTAATCGTCTGCAAAAATCAAAAATTTACGTCAAAATTTGAAAAATCAATACAAAGTTTAGGAGCAAGACTCTTGATTGAGGTTGAGGCGGAGGCGAGGGTGAAGGTGGCGGTGGCATTTGTTGGTGTGGATTTTGGGTTTGAGTTGGGGGTGAGTGAGGGGTGAGAAGAGGAAGATGGGATGTGTGTGTGTGTTTTTTTTTCTTATTTTTTAATATGATAAATGAAAATTTACTCTTTTGTCTCTTTTTAAAATATTAAAAATATAGTTAAAGTTAAATTTTTGGTCAACTGACAGAACTGTGGACGAAAACCATCCAAAAGGGTTTCAACTGCAACGATTGAAAATGTTAGGGGTGATAATTGCAATAAATCAAAGGTTTGAAAAAGTCTGCTAATTTCAAAGTTTTGGAGCTCCTGCTGCAATTATCCCAACATATTATGGTTAAAAATTGGACAAGGCATCAATCTTAAGGAGTCGAGGGTCAAGGGTATCAATACACGGGGGCAACTTTTAAAATGACTGGATAATTGATCCAATTTTCCACAATGACCTCTTTTATTAGAAATACTATTTTACCCTTACTATAATTATTTGCAAGATGTATCTTATATCTTTAAGAATTTATTAATCAGGACATATATCTATATTTTTCAGTCTTTCAAATACCTTTAAATGTTCTTTATATTTTAGTAGTTCTTCAAAGATCCTAAACTGACCTTTCTTGGTTATATATCCTCAAACTAATCATCTGAAATTTCTTCTTGTATTTCTCTATGTTTGGTTATAATATCCTCTATCTTTCTTATCTCTCTACTAGTTCCTATAGAATCAAATCCTATATTATTTTTACAATTATAATCTATATCTCTATATATTTCTTCAATTTTTTCTTTGCCAACAGGAAATATATCTTCAGACTTTTCAGCTAATTTAAATAAAAACGAAACATCTTTTTCATCTAAAAATAATATGAGATTATTATCATTAGTGGATGTAGATGCTTGTGAATTGTTCATCAGAATAATAAATATATAAAAGCAATTAAATAACTTATAGTAATTAAATGGAAGTAAACAGGATTTCCCTCCAGTATGCTTTTATAGATGCTTTGTATGTACTTAATCAATCTTCTGAATCAAATAAATATTTAAAATGTTTTTGAAATTATTTGGGTCCACAACTGCTTCCGCAAAAGGCTTTTCAATTAAGGTTGCATTTCTCATTCTAGAGAACTAGCCGTGTTTCCACAAACGCTATCTCACAGTATCCAGAATCTCTGTTTTCACCTCTATCCAAACTCTTTTCAGAATCAAGTTCCTACTTGGAACGAAATTTTTAAAAGATAACTCACACACAAGATGCTATAATTTTGTTAGAAAACTGCATTTTTCCCCTAAACCATTCATCAAAGACGGGTACTTTGGCATGGCTAACATCCTTTCAAAATCAATGTTTTGAAAATCTTTTAAAACTTCTATCTGTACTGCCGAGGAATCATGAGAAACTTAACGAAATCCTTTTATGAAAGCTTTGTTGAACATAACAAACTTTATTTTGATATTTATAAACTGAAATATTACATACTTGCAATCTATATTTACATACCCTTGGTATTCACCTTATAAAGTTTAGAACTCCATAAGTGATTACCTTATTATACGCTTTTCTATCTCCAGCTATCTAATATTTTTCTGAATACAAGTGGTGTTTTCAGATTACAAAAGATATCTCTCTAAGATGTGTTTCCTCAGAGTGTTTAAGAGATACGTTATTTCGAGATGTCTTCCTTCTTCCTCCTTGCCTCCTTTTATAGAAGTCTTTAGGAATCTTATCTTGACAGATGTTTTCTACATTTCTTTGTTGAGTAGCTGGGCCATCTTATCTCCACCGAATTTTCCATTATCTTCTTGCAAAGTAGACCTCTCCTTTTGAAATTATATATCTTATCTTTTGAGTTTTTCTGCCACTTGTGACAATTGGTGGGGAGAAGTTACAATTATGGAGACTTTTCTTGCATTATCTTCTGTCTTTTAGTAGCCACAGTTTTTCTTTAATAAATTTCTTTATTAAAGTAGTGATAAAGGGCTACTTTTGTCACCATCACTTTTCCATTTTCGAATTAAAAAATTCTGCAGGGAATTCTTCACTATTAAGAGATGGTTGACTCATATCTTCAACTACACAGTATTCACAATGGTGATCACTATAATTCCAGAGCAATTTGCATAGTTCTTTAGCCATATCTTCTGATCCATGCACTTGGTTGGAAATAATTGCAGATAATAAATGGTCGAGATAACAAATATCTTCTTCCTTGGTAGCCATCCTTGCATTGGAATAGATAATATGATCTTCAGATGGATAAACCCATGTTTTTTCTTTCTCAGTAATTATCTGAGTTACATGTTCAAATATCTCTTTATACCCTTTTGCTCTTCTGTAGGGCATCATATTTAGAATATCTTGATATCCATTTTTAACAACCTTTTGATTGGTTGGTAAAAAATGTAGATTTGTAAGTCCCATTTTTATCACATGGAACGATGGATGCATATATTCAAGAACGGGATCCCATTCCATGTTTGCTGAATGGAATCTGATATATATATTTGTTGTTTTGATAATTTCAGTATATCTTTTAACAGCTTTCCTGATGTTGGCTGGAAGCTGAGCTATCTCTTTGAGATCTTTGCTAGGATATATACAAAGTATATTTCCTATCTCAAAATAATTTCGAACTCAGTTGGCTGGTGCTCCTGGATAAAAATTTATCTTGTTGTATTTTGAATAGTGGAGAGTTTTCATCCACTTTCCAATCTCCAGATACCAATCTGATAAAATATTGAAAATAACAATAAAGAGTGTTACTTCTTCATGGTTATCTTTTCTGGGAATTTTTGTTTCATGGCATATCTTGACAATATCTTTTGGATCTATCCTTTCAATAGAAAGTTTAGATTGAGTTTGGCTCTGTGAAGAGCTACCTTCTCTTTTGATATCTTGAATATCTTTATTACCAGTAATAGGTTCAAATTTTCCCTGTGAAGGGGTTCCTATTACCTTCTTTTTTCCCTTTATCCTCGAGGATAGCGCTAGTATTCACAAGTTCTTGCGAAGGGATACTAGATTTGGCACAAGTAACTTCTGCCTCATGGGCTATATTTTTGCCTCGAAAGCTATCTTGGATATTTTGAATTTGTGTTTCCAAATAGGAAATTTTTATCTCAAGTATCTAAACTTTCGTTCTTAGTTGTTCTAGCTCCATCCCTGCTAAGATAATCAGGTAGAAAATTAGTTTTGCCTCTTATATATTTAATATCAAATTTGAAATATGAAAACCAAATTTGTATCCTAA